CATCAGCTTCTATCCCTAAGCTAAGGGCAGCACATGGAAATACAAGTGAGAAATAATAACACTTACGTAAACTTACATGAAAACAGAAAATAAACTCTCAGAACAGCTTGTGCTTTCTCAGTAATCACCCCTCCTTATTTACCAAGAAAAAAGGTCACATAGTAATGCCTTTTTGAAAGCTTTTGTCCCTAGAGTAGCCTTGTGAGATAAATCTTTTTCCATGAAAGTGCTGGCAAAAGAGGGAGCGGTCAGGCAGCTGAAGCCAACTTACTGATGCCATGTAGACAGCCATATAATACAATTTTAGGGTTAATTTCCATTGATCCTAAAATAATAGGCAAGATGGAGCTGTGATCACTTCAGTCCTTTTGCACAAACAAGGAGATCATGTAATCTCACAAGCACATGCCCTTGCTGCATGTTAAAGATCAGTTCTTGACTCACAACTGCTCCTTTCCATACTGGGTCAAAGTCACCTTTGTGCAAACAGCCACAAGCTCTGTGAGTATTACTGAGCCCTATTTCAGAGAAAGAATGGGGATTAAAAGTGACAGTAATCTGATAAAAGCTTTGCATAAGTAAAGAAATATTTCTGCAAGGAAAACTAAATTAGTCTCACCTCCATGCCATTGCCTCATATTCCATTTTAAAGACCAGCTCCTCAGCTGGGTGGGCAGCACAGCTTTACTCAAGGCAACTTAGCCAAGAAATTACTCATAAGGGATCAGCCATAAGAAATGTATTGCCTTGATATTTGGAGAACCAACTGGGCTCATTGAGAGCATGCCATTTTAATTAATGCTTAAATAAAGAACAAAAATAAGCAAAAATATTTATAGCTATTGTATAAATACTAGTAATAATTATAATAATACACATACGATTACTACAAAAAATAAAAGAACTGAAATGTTTGCCAGTCTCAGTGGGGAGGTGACAGGTAAGATATGAGAAGATATTTATTATCATGACTGTCATTTTTTTATGACGATAGTACAGGTCACATTCTGGCATCAGATTTACATACTGGAAGGAATCATGTGAGCTCCAATCTTGCCTTCTGCCAAAATGCTCTCTCCAAAAGTTTTCTGGACTGTGCAAGGATGAGGGTCAGCCTGTGTGTCCAAACCAGTCAGCCAGAAATCCTCATGCTCTGCTTGCAAACCAACTGACTGGAACTGGAAAGGACAGCTGACATAAGTGAACTCTTTGTCACAGAGCTCAGCCACTTGGCAGGGAAGCTAGAAACACTACATGATTCCAGCCTTGCACAGAGGTTACCACCAAATACTTCGTGTGGTGCTGCCAGTCAGTGGGTTTGATGACATCCCACTGCTCAGAGCTGCTTGTTTTATTCTGAAGACACAGTGTTCAGCAGGAAAATCTCACAGGAATTAGAAGAATAAAGCTGTAATGAAAACAGATTTACAGCTCCTGGGAGAAAACCTGCCACAGTGACATTTTAAAGGCTTTAATGCTTGGCTGAGTGTGGTAGGTGGTGCCACTGCAGAGCCTGAGCAAGATGTAAAATGTGTCCCTGCCAGTGGATTCCTCCTGTCTCTGAGGAATCATTCATCCCAGTGAAAGTTTTCTGTCCCCTTCCATCCTGTCCACCCCAGTGCAGCCCAGTCTGCCACGGGCCAGAGCCTGCTGCTCCCCTCTCTGCCAGGCTGGCTGGGCCAGGGCCACGCTCACCTGCCAAGCAGCTGTGCAGCAGTTACAGGTTCTGTGCATTCTCTCAAACACACAGGCCGTAAGGAAAACCACCTGCCAAAATGCAAAGATGTACAAAAATACACGTGCCCATGGTGTTCAACCTGTGTCCTTGGGGAACACCCCAAAGGGACGGCACAGACCATCACACCCACGGGCCTGGCACCGGGCTGATGTCATACACACCCAAAGGCATCACCACCGACACTGCCTAACCCCAGAGTGCACGGAGAGGAGGGCAGGGCTGGGCTGGG